AAAGAACACTGCTTTAATATTTCTAGAGATATTCTTGATTGAGTGTTGAACTGTTTTAGTGGAACCACCTATGACGTCATCACTTATAATACAAAAATGGGAATATCTCTAAAACAAAAAAAGATATTCCAAAAAGGAAAATGCCATTCTTCTTTACTTTGAAAAGCCTTTTAAATCAGCAGCAATTATTTTTTACTTCATAGGCACTTTAAGAAAGACAAGGTCAGGCAGTTTAACAATATTTAAGTGTTTGAAAATTGGACTAGAATGCTCATGAAATTTAGAGAAAGTCGTCACTCTCATTGCTCTCTTTTGTAAAATAAACAAAGGCTGGGTAGTTGAAGAATAAGTGTTACCCCAAGAAATTAAACCATAGGTTAAGAAGGGATATATTAATGCATAATATAGTTTAACCAGTATATCTGAATTCACATAATGACAAAGTTTACAAAGAATTTCAATATTTCGCTTGATCTTTGTAGCAATATAGCTTACTTGACTTTTCCACGATAAATTAAAATCTATTATAATACCTAGATATTTTATTGAGTACTCTTGGTTTAAGTTTATGGCATTTAAAGAGAGTGTGACATGAAAGGGTAATTTTCTTTGTGGAGGGTGGAAAATGTCAGTTTGACTTATCAATATTAAGTGAAAGTTTGTTGGCACTCAACCAAGTATGAATATTTACTAGTTCATTGTTTACTTTGGATTCAAGGACTCCAAGATTTCACTAGTACATTGTTTACTTTGGATTCAAGGACTTCAAGATTTCACTTTTCACTACAAACTGACTTTTACAAATACTATTTATTTCAAGCTTACAGATTCTCTCTAATTTTGATGAGTTTTCAATCTTTTTCTTTAGCTTTCAAGTATTTTTTTGTTAGTTTTTATGTCTCCTCAATAGATTATTACTCGAAGACAGTGTGAACCTGTCCTGATCTTTTTTAGTAATGCAATGTGCAGTTCCAGAAAATATCCATTCTCCTCCATAGAAGGGATTAGAATCTCCTGGTAGGTAGGTTTTTCTCTAAGACCATAACATTGAAATAAACGTATCAAGCTTAATTGGAATTTCCAGAGGGGTGGCGGGGGGGAGGGGGGCTTGGAAAAAATCCCCTCTGTGGGGGAGGTAAGGTTACTTTCTGGAACTACACTATAGACTATGGTAAGGTACTTCACAGACCTCTGGAATCAGTGCGCCCCACTGTCGAGGTTCATGTAATTTACAGGGGCGGATCTAGGGGAGGGTGCAGTGGGTGTCTACCCCACCTGAGGTGAAGCCTTCATCTTTGTATTCACTTTTAAAATTTGTTAGCCTCACCAGTCAGTTATGCCATTCCTTAGTGGTGCACCCCCTCCTAAGAAAAATTGTAGATTCGCCCCTGATTTAAGCCCAAGACCTCTCCAGCTAAGATGAGTGAGATAGTGTGAAATTTTTGTCAGATCTAAATGATACAAAGTACAGCTGCAATGAAATTCAAATAGGTATACCGTAATAATTCTGGCTAAGAAATGTTTCACATAAATTAGTAATTAAGTTAATTACATCATCATTTATTATTTGCGCCACATTTGTTACAAAAGCTTCAAACAGGGATGAGAGAGGTCTCTCTGACTCTAAAAAATGCAGCCCATAGAAATAATTGATTTATAACAATAAGGCAGTGGAGTTAATTCATTGCATCTCAAGTGAGACACTGCTTGCTCCTGTTAAGGGCTAATGCCCAAACCATCAGCTTTCCAATTTCGCAAAGGCTGTTAAGTTTGTTGTCATTTATGACTGTTATTTCAAATGCCCACAATGCAGCATAACAGTAGTGTTTTCACTGCAACAGTCATCTGGCCTTTATATTTTTCTTGATGTAAATTTCAGATAGAGTGATTTATAAATTTGGATCTAGATATTTGGGATTATACTTGCTTCTTCATATTAGTTCTTATTAACCTCATAGAGTAGTACATTTTTTCCTTGTCTTTATCATGGTGCTATCTAGTTACAGGAAAACCAAGGCACTTTCCTCAGTCCACATTTTTTTCATTTTTGTCATTTATAGTTATCATAAGCACCCGAAATACCTAGGAAGAGAGAACTTGCCATGGACATTGCCTCAGTCAAAAAAATTTCCATGGACAATGCCTCAGCCATATTTTGTTCTGGCTACAGCTTTGCTTTTCTTGTACTCTGTCAATACTATGTAGGCACTTAAGTACACACAGACTAATAGTTTCTGTTTCATAAGTGTAGCAAAATCACTTAAATTTAAGTAAAAATGCAAATGCAGGAGGGAGAAATTTTCAGCAGATTATTTACCACCCAGAAGGTCCAATAAGAGAACCCACTGAAGCTGGACTGAAAACACTTCTTTTCCATTGTACTCATCATAAAGTCTCTGGGTGCCTTGTGGTTCAATTAGCGTAATTTCTCCCACATGGACAAACCAACATATTCTCATGAGGATACAATGTTGGTGACAAGGAGTCAAACTTAACTTAAATTTAAACAATATATGTATTTTGTAAGAATAAATCCATTTATAAGAGAGAAAACTTGACATAGCATAAAAACTATGTCTGCTAAAAGAAATTTGTGTTAAAATGTTATAGTAGCTGGAAATTACACAGTTCTGAGATATTATTTTTTATAGTCACTGAGTGCATGGTGAAAAACCCTAAAGAAAAATTTGGAAGAACTTGGAAACAAGTTAAGTTTAATAAGATTATGAAAATAGCTTTAGTAAGATTGCTTAATTAAGCTTAATTAAAATAAAATGAATTTGTAAGTAAGTATTATTTTCATGATGGTTTTCATTGTGACTAATAAATGCTCAGATTGATGCTATTATTGTTTACATTGCTCTATTGCAATTAATTGTAAGTACAAGTTGATCATAAAGTCGTAGGAAGACAATGCCTGATTAATTTATGACAGTTATGGTTTGTGAATTTGTGACCTATAAAATGGTTTTCTGGGACTCATAGCAATATATTCCAGGAATTGAAGAGAGAGGCGGTAACAACGCTTCTGGTGAAATCCTGGTCTTTCCGATCCCTGCCGCTCCATTATTGGGACTATACCTTGCCGGCGCTAGTGCCGTTTCCATGACCTTCAGTATTTTTATGAAACTCGAAACCCGTCGTGCCGCCAGACAAGGGTGAAATGTTTCTCGTGACGTCACAAAGAATAGACTGCGCGCGAGAGACGCGCGTGCATCGTTTCCAAAAAACGACGCGGAAAGAGGGTGGATGGCAAATTAATCGTCCTCAGAAAACGAAAGATTCTGTGAATGAATATCTCCTTGGCAGCTGTTATTGGTAAACTGCAGGAGAAGTCAAGAGTGAAAATATTTAATAGACCACCTTTTCAGGGAAGGGTAATTAAACTGCTCTCCAGCCTTTCTGTTTTTTTTTTTTTGTTATAGATCATGATGGTTTAGCTTATAAACTGATAAAGGACTCTTGGTTTCCTTTCCAGACTTTCCAATGAGTGTTGTACTGACTCATCATATAATCAATACTCATTAATTAATTATGTAAGTTATATTGAATTTCATAATACTCGTTTGTGGATATAAAGCGAACTAGTTTTGATAAAAAAAAATAAATGTGTTATTCTACATAGTTCTTAAAATAAACTATGCAGTCAAACTTACCTGTAGCTAAGACTCATTTATAGCGGATTCATTATCAAACGTCATTAAAATATCTCCAAATAAAGACAATATAAAAGGCAGACATGATCAAAGAAAAGAGGTGTTCCCCAATTAGAATTCCCACCAGTTTGTATAAATTTACTAACCAATCATGCTCAGCTATCTCTGCGGTGGATGGCTCTCGCTTAGTGATATAGGACTTCATTTCATCCAAACATTCTACCAACAATACTGTTTTCAGTTCTGTTTTGAACTGGGCTGGAATACGTTTTAAAGTGGACAAAATAGCTACCGCTATGGCACAAGCTTGGGATTTCCGCACTTTACCCAAAGTAGGTAATGTTTCTGGTATGTTAGAGTATTTAGCAAACTCTCTCTCGTTGTTCTGATCCGATGCCGCCAGAAAATAAAATTCAACATGTCATCTGCATAGCAACGAGTAAGTTCTGCACTACGTCAATGTCTCTAATCGGTGTAAATAACTAGTAAAAACTAATTTGATGTAGTAAAGAGATTTACATAGTCTTCACATTGCATTTGAGCCAAGTGAGTCCAAGTGATGACTGTAGTTTTACAGGAAAAAGTACGGTTGGGGAATTGACTTGTAACACACACTGCGTTATAACAGAAATTAACATGAACCGGGCAGATTCTGGGGATAGAAATGACACAATCGTACCAAGTGAGCTGCGAAAAGACGACCACAGACGTCTACAGCTGACTACAGCTATCAGTTGTCCGCTTCGCGCGTGAATTTTTTTCCGTGCAATTTGCAGAACAGGCTAACGTGGGATGATTATCACACTTGTCGTTTTCAAAACATTTTGTGGAAGTATCTTTCACCTCAGATCCCATGACATGAAATCATACAACGCGAAAGTAGTAATTATTCAAGGCCTCATAAGCAGTAACTCGTAGGATGTTTTTGCGAGTGAAAAAGCTACTTCCGGTGTTGAAGCATTGCCCGAAGTTGTCACTTCCGCTTTTCGACACAACAGTCAGCCTGTAACAGAGTTATGACTTCAACAATGGCGCCGCGTCAAATTAATGAGGGCTTCCCGAATCTTATGCACGCTTGGGGCGAAGACAGAGTGTTGCAAGTAATAACACAGATACGTTAATTTGTCTCGTTAAGCAAGATCACATTTATTTAACAACCGGCATTTTCTTTCACTCTGTAGCTAGACGAATCGGTTGTGACGCCTGGCTTTGCATACAACCTTGCGAGGTATTTTCCTTCGGGAACACATCATGATAAAGAGAAGTGCATAGAGATAATGGAAAAGATTGGAGTGTCATCGGATCCTGCAACGTGGTATTCAACAGGTGCGATGTTCTTAGAGCAATAGCTTTCAGTGTCAAAGAGAATTAGCTAAATTAAGAATGTTTTGTTGCAGGGACTCGCGCGCGAACTCCGGCAAGACCTCGAAGTGTTCCACTTCGGTCTGTCCGTTCTCCCGAAAACCGCAAGCACAGCTACACAAAAAACCCAGAGCTGTTCTACATGACCACAAATAAAAGAGAATTTGGAGGAACGTTTGGTCCTCCAGCGGGAAATGCGAGGTAACTGAAACAAAGTGTAAAATTAAAACTCAATTGACTTTTGTGAGCCCGTCGGCGTTCACAGGAGTGCTTAGCAACGGAATGTGAACGGAAAATTAGAATACGGGACAAGTTAATTGTTCTTTCTTTTCATACACAGGCCAGATACTTCGAAGATATTTCCAAGCAGAGAAAATAAGAATCTGTCAACTTACCAGACCGACTTTAACGATAAAAATGTAAGAAAAGCTCGTGCGATTCGTGCGGGAAGCGCATTTGGCGACAAAAGAAACAATCCCCACCCCTCTGAGGTAAGTAATCGTGAATTATGACAATTTTTTAGAAGAAATAGAGGAGATTCGTTTGCTATATGACTCACATGTCTATCTGGCTTTTAATTTCTGATCTGAAAAGTGAAATGTCGTCCACAAATATTTTATGCCACCGTTCAAACCTTTAGATAAGAAGTTTGGCCCTTATTGATGAAGCGTTGCTGCGATGGCCGAGTGGTTAAGGCGTTGGACTTGAAATCCAATGGGGTCTCCCCGCGCAGGTTCGAATCCTGCTCGCAGCGGTGTATAATTTTTTTTTTCCTAGAGTGTCATATTTGGTAGTTAACATAGCTTTTCCATTTACCTTCATCGGTAGTGCTTTAATATGATTTTTAAAAATGTTAGTTTTTAGACCTTTCTGAAGTAAAGGGCCAAAGCATGAACAGCTGTCTGTGTTATATATTAAAAGTCTGTTATATTTCATTTCAACACCAAAACAATATTCCACTTTCAGAAATGAGACAAATAAATATTTTATGATCACCAAAATAGAAAAAAGAAAGAAAAGAAGGGTTACTTTTAGAAAAAAATTAATGATTTGCAAAAATTTCAACAAATGTATAATTTTTCTGCGAAATAGGAAAAAAGTTGTAATTGCCATTTCCAAATTAAACTTGTGTTACTCACTCTTTTTCGTTTTTCATGGTTATGATGAATCTGTAGGCATTTATGATCTGGAAATTCCCAAGTCGTCTTCCACCAGTCCACATGGAGGAGATAAACCCAGAGACCATGCAAGAACTGGAACAAGGCCAGTTAAAATCAACATATCAGAGTGATTATACGGGAATTCCGCAAGGTAAGTCCAGTAAAAAAATCAATATTATTGTTCTGTTAACATAATTTCAAATAATTTGGTTGGTTGACGAAATTATGTCTGTACTTGAATACTGGAACTTTTTAGTGTTAACTCGTTATCCTGAAAGGGGGGGGGGGTACTCTGATATATTAGTGTCGAGGAGGGAGGTGTGAATGAGGACAAATTGTGACCGAAAAAAGTAAAATGAGTCCAATGGCACAGAACCCCAAACAGTCACAACTGTTTGACCCAACACTTCTAGTCAAATCACCTTAAAACATCTAAACAAAAAGTCTTCACCCAATTGTCACCACAAAATTTCTAACCAAAAGTATTCAGATCGCAAATGACATATGCACCTCCTTGTCAGTTTTGTACCTATCCCCCCCTGAGTCCCTCAACGGACCCAATAATAATTAATTATTGATTAATCTGAGCTGCAAAACAATGTACAAGCTAATTAAATTTAACAAGCTGAAGTCTATCTTATTTGTTTTGAACTGAATATTATTTTTGTTTGGGATGGGTGAAACTTCAAAGTTTCACAACTAGCAATATTATTCTTCAAAAAATTAAAATACCAAATGATATTTACCAAGCCTCAAAGATTGCAGGCAGAGGCATGAAATATTTTTTAAATTAGTTGCACTATTAAGGCTATAAATATTCTCCCAGCAACTGCAAAGTTAATATAATGTTAAAAGGTGAAGATAAATAATTTATTGTAACAGAATATCGTGAGTTACAATAGCCGATTTTAGAGACCACATAAAAATACTCCACATTACTTTTGATGGTGCATAACTGTAATTATATACCAAATTGAAACACCAGGGATTTTTCACTTGTCAAAATCCCGTTTTGTCATTACTAGGTACTAACTATAGTGTTTTTAGTAACATTACAATAAACATGTATTTGCAGGGGTGAATATTTCCACTGTTTTTGAAGGAGATCTTGTTCCAGCATTGTATAAACCACCATACACACTGGACTCTACAACGCGGTACACTTACCAGACACCTGCTGTCAAAAGTGAGTTGGCAGGAAACCTCACTCGTTTTGGGTGTAACAAGAACAAGTATAAACCAGCTGTAGGTGCAGGTATGTCAGAAGAAAGGTTAGCTTAATTATCAACTCTGCAAATTTCTAAACTATCAGTTTCAGGTGACCTTTTCATGTAAAAAAAATTGACTTCAAATAGCCATTTCAAAATTTCACAAAGTATGAACTCAAATGGGGTCCTAAAATAATTATTGACAGTTGTGGCTCCAAGCTGTCAATCACATATTTTACGATAACTGCAGAAATTCTTGCACACTCATTGGCTAATTTTCATTGTCAATAAGTGGACAGACACACAAATTTACAATTTATGCGATGCGGCAATGAGCAAGAGCGGACAATTTGACCATTTGTTATTGTAAAAAACAAATTGACATCAGTTTTTTGTCTGTCCTGTTATTGACAATGAATTTGGTTATAACATTGTCAAAGTAGTCTGCGGATCCACTCAGCTATCGTGTTGTGGATCCACAGCCACTTTGACAATGTTATGAGGAATTTTGTGATCACTAACAGGACAGACACATGAAAAACTGACCTCAATTTGTTAAGCATAGAACAGCCTAAAAGACGATGAAGGGTTTCGGGTACAATGTTCTCAACACTCATTACATGCATATGGTTCGGACCACTTGGCAATTGACTGTCAGAGTGTTCAATTTCCATTTGAAGTGAGTAACCAGATTTCTGGAATACTCAAAAGTCATTTTCATTCATGTTCAGATATACATTTCTGGAGCTGTAAAGACTTCTTGAGTTCTATTTAGCATATGTTGTCGTAAAAAATTTGTGCAGAACAGAATTTTATGAAGATTACTTTTTCTTTTCATTTAAGTTCCTACAGTTTCATACAATTCTCCTCAAATGCACTTGTATGGAAGGACACATTACTCCAGAGACTATGTTGACAAGTCAGCTGTTTTAAAGGTTAGTTTATGTCTTGACAAAATCAGCATATATAAGATTATTAGGTAATTTTTTTTACTACATCTACATTTCACCTTAACTATGGGTGGGTAAGTTGATATAATATGCTCAAATGTGACAATGTGACCAAGAGTTTGAACTCTGTACAACTTAGGAAGGATCAAGAAAGTTCCAGTATGGTCCAATTCCAACCCTGGATGAGTATCTGAAAACTGCAAAGCCACATGGTAGGAGAGTGTTTTCAGTTGTTGTTTAATGTTTTTAGGGATATTTTTTTGGTCTGCATGACAGTGTTACTGATTAAAATGCAGGTACAATTTGTCACAAACATTGCAAGGACAAAGTTGGTCAGTCTAGATGCTACCTTAGAAAAAGCTTATAGAGCCTCGTGATCATCCCTTTTATGCAGGCTACTGTGTTATGCTGTGTGCCACACCACCATAACATCCTGAAGGCTCATAAGTGTCTCTTCAATGCAGTTAATTTTGCTGAGGTTGATGTAATTTGTTATTCACATGACATCATGGCAATGGGAAAGCAGCAGTCTCTTGAAAAACCTCCTCAAGTCTCAGGTGCTGATAAAAGTTGTTTCCAGTGTGTCGGGAGTTTGATTAAATCTCTTAAAATTTTGACATACCCAGTACATCATATTAGGCACCTAGGGGGCTAAAATCATGACGTATTGAGTATGTCAAGTAAGCACTCAAGGGGGTAGTATTTTTATAAGAATCTAAGCCAATGCTGCATTGACTTTAGTATCATGGTTAAAAGGAAAATAAAGATCCTGTTTGTCATTTCTCATAACAGTTATTTATAACTCATCTCTCATGTAGAAAGGGAAAGTTTATTACGAAAAATACAGAGCATAGCTGTAAAAGACAAGCAAGAGAACCGTGATCCAGAGTGGCTGTCACAATGGACTGGACCTGCGTAAATCTGTTGCCCAGAGAAATACTGTCACACAAAACATTGGAAATAGCTGTAATCACAAATGAGTTAATATATTCCGATGCAATGGTCACCCTTTTAAAGTTTTATACTGACTACAAAGTTGAAAGAGATGAGGAATGGATAAAATTAGTTGTAAGAATTCAACTACTGACATCAAAAGTAATTTTGCACTTTTTCTATATCCGCCTCTTACCCTCTTTCTACAGTCAGTGGGAAACGATTAGTAATCATAATCATTTTGGACAATAAGTTATTATTAAGAGGGGGAATAATATTGACAAAAAAACTTAGCTAGAGCAATGAATTCTAAAATTCAACTGTTGATCTTGAATTGCCACAATGAAAAACAATTCAAGGGCTCTAACAATCTTATGTCAACAGATGTAAATTTTTTTCAAAACATCTGATATTTATTCCTTCACAATTATTTTATACAGGAGGTGATAAAAAATTGTGTTTCTCTTAAGAAGAAATCATTATCAGTAACTGTATGTTGTACATTATGATGTATAAATTTACTGATTACAAGACAGTGTCATGTACAACAGTTACTATGCTTAAAACATGTTTCTTAAATACATGCTGGTTAATTCAACTAAAACAAGCTGGGTTCAAATGAATTCTGAAATAGCTTAATATTAAGTGCCAATACATGTATTTGCTTTATGGTGTGAGCTGGCTTTGGTGAATGAAATCTCATAATTTCCAATAAAAGCTAATCTACATCCACACAGTTGTTCATCTGTTTTAGCGTTACTTTCATATCTTACAATAGCTAAATCACCACATTTATAATTGAGAAATAGATTTCACGCTTGATGGTTTTGCATAGAAAGCAATAGAACAGAATGACACTGCATAACCTGGGTCAGATCCAGGATTTCACATGCTTCTCTTGGAAAATCTTTACATGTAAATTACTGCAAAATGTGATTTGAGCATTTTGACATCAATTTGCAGCTATAAAACCAATTTTTTTTCAGTAAAGTAGGAATTTTATCTAATTTATTATATCTCTCAGTTAGTACATGCACTATGATTGGTCAATTTAGTGGGCTGTATTCTCCTGTACGGCCCACTAAAATTTAAAGTAGAACTACTGCAACAAATCAGAGCACTTTTGTAGTGTTTTAAAGTATATATAAAATGTCTGCCTAGCAGAGTTGTATGAATACAAAACAAGCTAAACTTAAAAGTCACTTTTAACAGCTCCTCCACTCCAGTTGGTATAATAAGCATGATAACAACATTATGATTTTAAAAGCATTTGTCTGCCATGCAATGAATTGTGTATGGTAAGTATGTACTAAGTAACAAAATACATACAAGCAACTAAAGAAAGAACTATTATTGTGTCAAACCACATACAGGCTGTTGCAAAAGTTAGACCTTTCAAGGCTATCGTCATGAGATAACATGTAGATTAAAATTAAATTCCAAAAAAGGTTCAAGTATAAAGCAACTGCCACTCTAATGCAACTTTTGTTTCTTTGTTTCTGCCTCATAATTTTTTGTGCAATCTAGCATTATTTTTCCTGTGGCTACCATACAGAGCAAGGGAACAACTATCCAGATACCATTTGGAAGAATGTACAAGTAAACTGTTCTCTTCCAGTCTTCAAGGTTCACATGGGTATGACAACCACACAGCCCACTTGAGATAAGGATATATAACACTGTCTTGGAAAAGGTCATTGTAGATACCATGAAGGCTAGCAGCACTGACTGTCCAGTTTTTCCAATGATAAACTGAAAATTAAAAATTATGTTAAATAAAGAAAAGATTATAAAGTACAACTTCTTGATATCATTTTTATTCACTTTATCTTGAATGCAATTTAAAACTCAATGATTTTGGGGGGAACTGGATAATGAGTTGCTTGTTAACGCATCTGACAAGAAAGATTAGCAGTATTGTCAATTGGTGTTTTGATGCATCAAGCATCANAAAGTACTCCACATAGCCTAAAACAGCTTTTAAAAGTATTCGAGAGAAAACGGTCGTTGGGTGCCCCTGGAAGAGAAGAAAGCACAAGCACATTTTAAAAAGAAACATATTGACAAAACATGATTTCCATGGAAACACTGACCAAACCCTATGAGGAAGAAACTTGTCAACTCATGTTGGAGAAATGAAAAGAAATGAAGTGATATTATTTCTTGAAAACGAAATAACATACTTTTGAAGTCTGTGCATACTACAGTTTACCTAATAAGAAACTGTTGAATGTTGTTGAACTGCTCACCTTTAACTGTTAGAAGTTGATCACATGGGGGAAGATTTCTCAGAAGCGGTCATAAGATGTTGCTGTTTCAGTGGATGAAAAATTGCAGTTGACTCTTGAGCTGATCATTTAATTAGCATCAGCATTTTTAAGAACTTCTCAAGTCTGCAAAATAAATAAACAAAATGTGATGGCAGCTTTCTCACCCTCTGAAATCCTTCACTCCAATTTTTTAAGACCATTGCAAATGTTTTATTAATTACTTATATCATACATTTTGCCATATTTTTCACTTAACTGTAATCAATTTGTACCCATCGTTGAAAAGCAAAATTTTCAGAAACCAGGAATGAAATTACAAACAGGTTATCTTTCCATTGCAAGATCTGAGAATATCAACGACCCAAAGTAAATGTTTTATTTAGTAGACTTCCTAGCTACTAAAAAGATAAATGTAAATAACCTGCAGTGTAACGAGTTCAAGAAAATCACATCTTAATTTTCAACGGAATCGCAAAGATATCTTTCCCGTGAAAATTTCATATTTATTTCTGTAAGATGTGTCTTAGGTGTGAACAAACATTTACCGCAGTAGCTTCTTCAAATTACTACAAATTTCTCTACATATCCTCAACTTTCGAATCCACCTTGAAAGTTATTTGCGAACCCTCTTTTAATCATTTCTGGTAAAATGACTCAAGAATATATGTAAAGTTTAATAAATAAGATTCTATAATGGGGGTAAATCAATGACCAATTCACACTTATCTTTTTACCGTGAAGTCCTCTAAACAATCATTCACTTTGGGCCGTTAATTATCCCACTAATTCGTCCTATATAAACTTAGGTATAGATAACACAAGATCTCAATAAACTTAAACGACACTTTTGTTTTACTATCAAAAGCAAATAAGAACTTTGCGGATCATTTTAAAGGGCACCGACTCAATTTACAAACATAACAATAAAAAGCTTGATAAATTGTGTTTCTAAATTATTTGGTATTTCAAAGTGAAACAAAATACTAAGACTTATTTTAAAATCATTTTAAAAAAACCTGAACACAAAAAAGTTACTTTTAAATTCAAGATAGGAAATCACAACCGTAAATCGAAACTGAAAGATGTATCATTCCTAGAACTCCTGAAAGCTTCAGGTTTTGTGACCACTGCACACACAATTCAATTGAAAATGAATACAATGACCTATATTAAGAAATTCCCTTATTGAGAAAATTAGTGAATAAAATGGACCATTTATGAAGTTTGATAAAATTTATGATGAAAAGATATCACCTCTTAAGTCACGCTTCTTCATTCAGACGTTTTCTTATACAAATCATCTTGTAAGAGCTTCACAACTTTTCTCAGCCGTAGAAATATTGAGTTTTCTTTGTCACTATACTTCAAGCAACAATATATAGTTTAATATATATAGTTATATAGTTTTCATGTATCATTGTCTGCGTGACTGTTCAGCCTATAAGAGACTCGACCCTGGTTTTACCATATGGAATTTGTTTCACTTCCTGTTTTACCCTATAAACAACTGCAAGACGACACGGAATCTGCAGATTATGCCACAAAACCGTTTTTACAACCTGTAAGTCATTTGTTTTCTCATCAACTTTCTCAGAAACGTTTGGTTTTTTATTATTGATCGATATGTCATACGCATTAGGAAATAACAATTTAGTTCTGAAAGGAAATTTGCAAGACAATAACTATTCGACAGTTTCAGGGTGATCCCAAAGATTAGATAGCGAACGGAGTGGTAGTTAAGGTACCTCCCATGCTCAAAATACTAATTCTCATTTCTGGTTTCTCATATTCTTTTAATATTAATTCTAATAATTTGGCTCTTCAACAATACAATTACTCTAGGTAATGATTTTCTTTTTGCATCATTCTTGCACTGAAACCGTTCAGTGGTTTCTAACAAGACTAGAAATAATGCACTTATCTGAATTTGATGTTTCCAATAGCCAACTTGCTCCAGAATCCAAGAGTACTATGTAATCGTAGATGGTCGCACTTTTTTCCAACACTGATCTGTTTCCAGCCTCGAAAAAAGACAGAAATATCAATAAGTAACTCTTTTTTACCCTCACTCAGTCAACTGACAAACTCGCGGTCGTGTTCAGCATATGAGCTTGCACCGGAATTTAACACGCATGGTTTCATACATTTTCAGAGAACAGTAGTGATTTGTTGTGGTTTCACATTTGTTTAAGAAATCTTGTATCGTCTTAAAGAAAGATTATTTTACGGTTCTTTTATTTCATGTTACGCTGTTTGCAATAATTAGCTCTTATTAACTGAGCAGGAGGTCTGTATGAGAGAATCTTGACCGACTCGTGAGTACAGACCTAACGCAGTGAGGTCTGTTTACACGACCGAAGTCAAGACTCTCTCATACAGACCGACTAAGATGTTTATTGTTTGGCAAACAAGAAACATTTAATTTGTTTAATGTAACTGCTTTGTACCAACTGAACTTCAATCTGTCAAAGTTTGCTCGTCCTGTTTACTTTTGTTTCCTCATCAGGCTTTTTGGCACTTCTACTATTAATTTTTTTGAAGAAAATAGTCAATATTTTTGTACTTTTTTTTGCAACTTTTTCACCGCAAAATGCAGCCGGTCTAGATGGGAAAATCTAGACTGCGGTCAATATCGATTTAAGCCAATCAAATTCGTGAATTCTGTAGTTCCCAGTCCTTGTGAGACACAGCCATATAATAATTGTCTCTTATTAACAGAGCAGGAGGTCTGTCTGGGAGAATCTTGACCGAGGTCGTGAGTACAGACCGAACGCAGTGAGGTCTGTACACACCACCGAGGTCAAGATTCTCCCATACAGACCGACTAAGCTCGGTTAAGATGTTTATTATATGGCAAACAAGAACAATTTAATTCGTTTAATGTAACTGGTTCGTACAAGCTGACATTTTGCTTGCGAACGGCGATGAGCTGAAATTAATTCTGCGAATGTTTGCTTGTCCTCTGTACTTTTTTTCTCATCAGGCTTTTTGGCACTTCCATAAATAAATTTTTTAAAAGAAAGTAGCTAATGTTTTATATTTTAGTACGCGTTGGCAACTTTTTCACCGCAAAATATTTCCGGTCTAGATGCCGGTCTAGATGGGAAAATCTAGACCGCTTTCAATATCGATTTCAGCCAGTCAAATTCGTGAATTCTGTAGTCCCCAGTCCTTGTGAGACACAGCCATATAATAAATGTTCTTCAGATGAAACTTGATAACGCAATAATTTTAAACAATCTTGAGCTGTTATAAAGGGTTAAATTGTAGAAGTCGGAGGACGGACTTACCTTGGACGAGATGTTTCCAATAATCATCTGACACCAAGAAGAGCAGTTCTGAACACTCCGATCCAAATTACCAAAATTGATGACTGTCTTCAGAAGCTCGCGTGCTTTTTACTTATACATTTCTCTTCATCCTGAAGAAAACCGATGAAAACGATTAATCTATTTATTTACCTTGGTTGACTTATGGTTATTTGACTGAACTCACTTGAAATCTAATTATGGATCCTTGCAATGAGAATGCGTCTTGACGAATCAGAGAGGTCTCTGTCGTCCTAGCCAATCTGGTAACAATATGAATTTTAGTTTCGCTATCTTGTTTTCGTGCCAGGATAAGTTTGCAGTTCCGGTTTTATTGTCTCGTGTGAAATGTCCAGTTGAGTGATCCAGGTCTATATAAGACCAATTATTATATGGGTATCATGTTGTAATTTAATTTTCTTGTTATGGTTTCATCTAACTCGGTGCTTTTTCTTTCATTATTCACTCCAGTCACAGTTTAACTTGAGTAAACAGTCGCACGACAGCAAGGTAATCATTTCCCAAACATCCTGTCCCAGGCTTCTCCTTCGCGAGCTTACTAGTTTCTAAGCCTTAACGAAAACGAACACGTTCTTACAGTGATAAAGAAACGCCTTAGCTTGTCTTTAGTCAGAAAGTTTTCAAGAAAAGTTTACAAAGGTTTACAGAGATCGACGCCAAACTCTTTACGTTACAACAATTTTCTAACGAGAGAAACAGTTGTTTCACTTGTTGGCTCACTAATAACAGTAACTGAATAGGTTGCAAAACTTTTCCCGCCCTTAATATTTTTCCAGTTTTTCGGCAATTTGATATTTATTAACATTATAAACAGCTCGTAAGTTAGTCTAAGGTCAAATTTATCATCATCTTTAAAACTTTTTAAGCGTCATTGATATACTAGCCAAATTAATCAGAAGTTCTCACTGAATGGCATTTTAGTCAGTTTCTAAAAAATCAAGAATTCCAGACCGTTTTCGGTCATCATTCATTTGTCACGAACTAACTGTCAACTCTCTGAAAAGGTCTTTTTAATCCCAAACTGAAACAAAGCACCACAAAATTTTGAACCCTGCAGAGAGTTCTCAGAACGTAAAATACAAACTCTTGAGAGGGCCACGCATTTTCTAGTCTCTATTACTGTTTAACTTCGGTACCTCGAACTCTTCACTGAAGTCACTTTCCATTCGATATAATTTTCCGTATTTTACTGTCGGTTTTCTTAAACCTCCGTATATATGAATACCCCTGGGGTAGACTTCATGCCACGAAAAGACAAGATTATAGAAGCATATTCACTTATCTGAAATTCAGTTGAATTGTTTCCATCATCAGTTGGAAGCTATCCAGGATACATAACAAACAGCGTCCTCACGAGAGTTCATTACTTGTCGTACCACACTTCATTTGAATTGGTGATGAAAGCGTTAGTCGTGAGCGCATGGCAAAAGCTGATAACGCTCCAGTACAGTTCCTTTGGATTCACCTTTGCTGCTCCTGTTCGCGGTTTGTGGAAAAACAACAACAATAACAGGGCTCAAGCAGCAAATAAAAGCGATTAGACTCTAACTAACTTAACATAGTTGTGAAGTATGATCACTAGCGTTGCTGAACCTCTTTTGCTCTTAATAATAAACTTCCTTCAACATGTGGAATGAAACTTATAAACGACTACCAGCAAGGTTGAGAGAACTGACTGGAATTTTCTTCAGATATGAATTAATGTTCTCTCCCTGTCAAAGTAATTGCTGCGAGGAGAGAGTTTTCCCTTTTCATCGTTTGGGAGAAAATGTAAATGGTCGTGCTTGGAAAGGAACGGTGATAAAACAGATAAAGCTTTAGTAACTCAGTATTTTATAATCAACTTTACTTATCATGATTCAGTCTTCGGTGTTACCTAGGAATAAATGTTCATTATGACCTCAAAACTTTCACAGCGTGAAGGCAATATCGAACCGCTAAAAGGCTAAAATTGAAAAGTTAGGGAAACTAAAGGAAAAGGTAACAACTAGTTCAAAAGAAATTCACTCATGAGAGAAAGAGAAAACATAAACTTGCCTGGAGACGGCACATCGACGAAGATGTCCTCGCTCTTGCTCCTGCAATGCAACGGCGACCGACGCTAAACTGGGTGTGTCATTTTACACCTCTTTATATACCAACATTAAAATTCATTCCA